TTTCGGGAGCTGTGTACAGAATTTGATTTACCTCGTTCCTCCTTTTTCTTTTATTTACAGTTGAGGTCGGCTTTAAGGGCTAGCGGTATTCCATTGCAAAGTCCTTTATCACCACACCCGCTTCATAACATTCTACACTCCACTAGAGGTACAAGTGGCCTTGTTTCCAAACTTTACTGGTTCATTTCACAACACGCTTATAGACCTCTGGCGTTAGATGCGATATGGAGGGCCGATATCCCAGATCTGGATCCAGAGTTTGATTGGGATGAAGTCTGGTCCAATATACTAATAGCTTCTAGGAATCCTGACCACCAGCACATACATTATAATTTACTCATAGAGTTTACCTTACGCCTAGGAAGCTTTGTTTAATGAAAATAATTGCTGATCCAAATTGCACTCTATGTGACGTAGAGGCTATTGGTACTTATTTACATATGTTCTGGGAATGTCCGCCAGTGGCCAGATTCTGGGAGATGGTTGCCTCTAACCTTTCGGCGATATTTGAGACTAACGTGCCTCATTCACCTGTCACACTTATCTTAAACGACCTGTCCAACCTGGGTTTAACCCTGACCAAAAGGCGAGCACTATTAGCCGGGCTTACAGCAGCAAAAAAATTGGTTGCGACTCGGTGGAAGCCTCCCCATTCCCTCTCACGTAAGGTCTGGGTTCTAACATATCTAGACATATCGTATCTAGAAATATCGACAGCCCGGGTACATGGGGCAAAGGAGTCAACAATAGAGATGTGGACTTCGCTCATTGTGAACCTCAAGGGCATATTAGGATAACTATCTAATGGGGATGGTGATCTTGATGGGTGGGTGGGGAGGGACGTCACTGGGTTTTGTTTCTTTCTTTAGTTTTGTGCTGTTTTTGTAATGTATTGCATTTTATGTTATTGATTGTACCATTTATTTTATAAATAAAAAATTTGATCACAAAAAAAAACATTAGAAAGACTGATTCTTATTATTACATTATAAGCTTATTGTGCTCATTTCATGTGGCTGTGACTTTGGAATAAATAGACGTCATTAGCCTGCAATACAGAGTAGCAAGGTCAGGTGCAGACACTGGAAGAATACAAAGAGTTATTCATAAACAGGACATCACTCCGACCTTGAGCTTTGGGTGAGCTCCGCTCCCACACATAGGCAGCAGCATTATGAAGATTCCACTTTTTCTGTAGAAACATTAGCGAAAACAAATTACATATGATGGTGCCAGAGTAGGGAGGGACTTCCACAGGCCAGCCGAATGATGATTGGAGGATCGTGTTGCCAAGAGACTCTGAGTCTGCGCACCAACCAAAGAGAACCAAGTCTAAACCATGGTATCTCTTCAGCTAGTCTTGACCAATCATAAATGTACGGGTAACGCCCTGTGTAATAAAAATGTATTGTCGAACAAGGTTCGAGGCTCTTTCCGGAAATAGTGGTGACAGATTACAGCTCTGCTGCCTGTGATTTCTGTGACCGGACGGAGCCCTTGGCCAAGTGAATATATATATTTTGCTCTCTTATAATAAATAGTTAAACTTAGAAGTTGTCTGTCTTTCCTGGAATTTTGAACCCAACACAAGCTAAACTAGTTATAAATATGTTTATTCTTCACTGTCGGGTCACTCATTACTGGATCAGTGAGCTGCATGAGATACTGACGGGCTGTCAGGAGAGAGAGAGAGAGAGAGAGAGAGAGAGAGAGAGAGAGAGAGAGAGAGAGAGAGAGAGAGAGAGAGAGAGGGGTGAGAGGGGGAGAGGGAGAGGGGGAGAGAGGAAAAGAGAGCGCTTCCGCTCATTTCTCCCGTGTTATTATCCAAAGTTAATGTAAACTTGAATAATGTACTTCATTTGAATGTAATAATAATGTTAATAATAATAATAATGTTGGTTGTTGTTTGTGGAAGCGCCAGTGAATGAGCCCCATTAACTGAGTTTTAAACATCACTTTAAATGGAAGATCGTGTGGTACAGTGGGCTAGTGCGTTGGTGTTCGGATCAGAGGGTTCAGGTTCAAACCCCACTGCAGTCAGCATGTCGTTGTGTCCCTGAGACACTTCACCCCAAATTGCTCCTGTGGGGATTTGTCCACAGTATTGAGTATGTTATGCCGCGTTTCCACTACACAGCCTCGCTCGGCCCCGCTCGGCCTCCTTTGGCCGCGCCCGGCCTCGTTAGGACCAGCTCACTTTGTGGCGCGTTTCCATTACAGTTTAGGAACCGGGTCAGTATCTATAGTAACAGTGTAGGCGGAGCGACGCTGCTTAAAACTGCCGTGACGTCCTCTTCAATGCGACACAACAATGGAGATGTGAAAGCGATCGTTTGCTTGTTTTTTGCTGTGTGGTTTATTATCACAAGAAATAGACAAGAGTTGTTTCGAAAGAGGCGACGTATAGCAAGACGAGGGTATAGAAGAAGCTGACGCGAGAGTTCGGGCAGTCCTCCTACGCCGCAGAGACTACAGGACGACTCGAATCACTACTAACTACAATGCTACTTGGTAAGCTAACGTTCGCTAACTAGCAATGTGTTTAGGCTCACTCTCCCTATACGACCAAAGTATTTCAAGTATTTAATTAATTGTAGCTACCACTTTTACGTATTAAAATATGTATGCTTTTGTTTGTGTATTTCAGAAGTTACCGACCGAGCTACCGAGTGGTGGAATGTGATTGTTCCATCTTTCACACACTCAGTGGGTGGAGAACTTCAGGATGCCTGAGGAAAAACCTACGTGTAATACCTAAATATTCATTGTATTGTATTGAACATAAATACATCTTTTCTTTTTCACATACATGTGTTTGTCAAATTATTTTAAACCAAAAAAATGTTATCAGAATTGACTATTTAGTAAATATTTGAATTTCAAGCACCAGTACTGCCCCCATAATAATAATCTAATAAATTAAGCAAATATCAAAGCAAACTATAAACATAAATACAAAAGTGTAAAACACAACAGAACTATATTCATAAATGCAAGTGTAAAAAATTGTTAACATGGATGGAGGCTAAAGTATCCACAGCATAAAATAATATGATTATGATGGTTTGTCTGAAAGACACAGCCTCAAGGTTCAAGGTTTTTTATTTTGTCATACGAACATAGCTAGTGTAGTTATGACAATGAACATCTTAGGTCACAGGCTCCTCCAACAGTGCAACACAATAACCCAGATCAACAGAAATATAGTGCAAGTAAATATTAAGCGCTGTGCACCGCTCTTTGTATAGGTGTTTTCTTTTGTTCTCTTCTCTTTGAAATATATAAGCAATGTGTTTGAGTCTAGCACAACGAGGGTATTACAATTGAGTAATTTTTCTACATGTATTTATCATGTATTCTTAATACCATTATGTAATGTTATGTTTTAGAGGAGGACCTCAAGCTAGCAAACTCAATTTCAAACAGTATGCAGAGTTGTCCTGCTAAAGAGTTAAAATGTATTATTTAACCAAGTATTTATTCTCTTATTTGCTTTAATTGCAACAGATGATAAAGGTTTCACTGTGATAAGTATTCTCTTAAATCCATAAACCCCTGTACAGTGCTTTGTGGACGATGGTGTTTATGATATTTCTGACTGCAGAGGGACGCCTAGATGATGCCATCTTTCTGTGCGATCGCTGGTGGGTGCAATTATTTATCAACAAGCAATAAGATAAGACATGGCATTGATTCTGCTGGGCCAGTTGCCGTTCCTGCAGGGCCAGATCCTCTCCTCCTCGGTTTGTGCTGTTGATGCAGAGGACGTTGTGTCCTCCTCGCTGTTCCTCCTCGCTAGTCCCAATGTAATCATCTAGAACAGAAACATGACTTGTAAATTCCACAAACTACTGCAGCACAATACTATAAATAGCAACAACAACTATAGAAAAGACAAACTGAACGTAAACAATGGCACATATGGTGTTAGCAAACAATAGCTCTCGCTAATGCTATCTGCCTAGCTAGCCTTCGGGGCTCCATCGGGGTTGTCGAACATAAATGTAAGGATAAAATAGACTTATTTGTTAGAAGTGAGCTTTAAAACAGATAGGGACACAAAGCAGGGACACAAAGCTTTCAAGCAAATAACACAGCGTTAGCAAAAACGTACCATGCAGACTCCAGTAACGCCGTTGGAGAGTCCAGTGTCTGTGTAGAGACCTCCTGAAAGACTTTGATATTGCGAGTTGTCCCGTCGAGCACCCGCTGGACCTTATCATCTGCAATATAATGGACGTCGTCACTTCCTCGACCGACCATGGTGTGCTTTTCTTTGCCATTGTTGTAGCTCCTCCGTTAACAAAAATGCTGTTTGTAAAAATGGATTATCTCGCGCGCAGATTGTGACGATTCTCTCCGACCAATCAGCAGCCGAGAGCGTTGACGTCACAAACACAGCCCGGTTGCCTCTGGCCCTGGCCCCACGATTTTATGAGGCCAGAAAAACTGAGAATTAGGACCAGCCGGCCGGTAGTAGGCCAAGTGGAAACGCAACCACAAACGGGCCGCTGACGTCACAGCCCTCTTAAACCGGGCTGCGCGCTGTAGTGGAAACGCGGCATAAGTCGCTTTGGATAAAAGCGTCTAACAAGTGACATGTAATGTAAAAGATCCCAGTAGGCCCCGCCCACTCGATCGGATCGGCGATCGGCCCCAAAATTGGCGATCGGAGCATCCCTACTTATTATTAACCATCTGGAAAATACATTTAAAAAAGATGCTGAGCTGGCGAAGGGTTACACTCAGGCAGAAACCCTTGTTCTGAAAAAGAAAAGATGAAAGCCCGATAACAATTTAAAAAAAATGTATATATTGTTTTAAATTGAAATATCCCTTTTACACTGTACTGTACTGCTATTTTACTACTTAACTAAACTAACTGTGTTTCTGTAATATACTGCCCTTAGGTATTTATGATAAATAAAGCAGTTTATATTATCCGATGATATCAAACTGAATCCTCTTCAGGTCAGGTTACAGTAGAAACAGAGTCTTACTTTGTGTCTGAGGGTCCAGGTTCATCTCTGAAGTTTATGGGTTCCCCTATAGACCGGTCACTCTTCAGAGACAGACAGCTGGGGACTGGAGACCCTGCTCTCTGTCTGTGGAAACAACAAATGTTTTACACACATCATTAGTTCTTATAAAGAGCAGCATTACCTGGTTAAAGATTTTTAGACTTACTCTGCTCTTTCTGTTTTACAGTCGTGTTTGTGGGTTTCCGTAGTTACCAGTCATTTGTGAGGATTACAAGTTTGAAATGTTTGTCATTTTTAAGCTTTACCTAAAACAAAGTCCTACATGTTGAGTGTGAGAATGATTTCACTATAGTAGATTAATTACTATCGCTGATGACCTGGGTGCAGGGAGTGGTAGAAAGACATCAGTGAGGAGCATGTAGCTCTGAGTCCAGAGCAGGGGTAGCCAACACGGTGCCCGCGGGCACTTAGTTGCCCGCAGGGGCACCGTGAGTCGCCCGCGGGGCGTGTTCTAAAAATAGCTCGCCAAGCAAATCCAAAATGTAAAAAATACACAAACAAAAAAGGAAATGTAATTAAAAGAATCTACCCTATGCATAAACGAAACCTCAATCATAGCGAACTCTATCTACTTACTACAACTCTATATCTATCTAACACCCCTCCTCCCCCCACCCCCACAATGAATATCGACCAATCACGTTCTTGTTTGATTTGCGGGACCAGCGTTGCAGTCGGGAAGAAAAGCAATGTGGAGCGGCACCGCATGGCGTAATTTCCACCTGGGACAGGGGGGACATGTCCCCCCCCACTTTACGAAATCCCGTTTGTCCCCTCCCACTTTACAAATATGTTTATTTTATTTTTTTAACTCAAGCCGTCATCGCCACGGAGGAGCACACAGCCTCTGTGAGCGAGAGAGGGAGAGAGGGAGAGGGAGAGGGAGAGGGAGAGAGAGAGAGAGAGAGAGAGAGAGAGAGAGAGAGAGAGAGAGAGAGAGAGAGAGAGCACCTTTATCTATTTAATGTGTTATAAAAATAAAGTAAGAAATAATTCCAATGTGTATAGGACAGTAAAAAAAAACAGTTTGAAAGGGGAGGAAGTGATTAGTAAAATAAGCATAAATAGAAAGAAAGAATGCTAACTAGGTAACATAAGATAAGAATAAACCAGTTTAAATGATTTGTTATTGGTTGTGATCATATTCTAAAGATGTTTGGATTATTGAAAAGTCTACAGCTCCCTTTCATCTGAGTGTTGAGAGCTGTTTCCATCAATTCATGTTGTGCTCAAAGTGCTCCAGATTGATGCATTTCACTTCAACATTTAAAAATAATCTTCCCAGGGGTGCATGCCCCCGGACCCCCCTAGAGGAGGTGAGGACCCCCCTAGAGGAGGTGAGGTCCCCCCCTAGAGGATGTGAGGACCCCCCTAGAGGAGGTGAGGACCCCCACTAGAGGAGGTGAGGTCCCCCCCTAGAGGAGGAGAGGACCCCCCTAGAGGAGGAGAGGACCCCCCTAGAGGAGGTGAGGTCCCCCCTAGAGGAGGTGAGGACCCCCCTAGAGGAGGTGAGGTCCCCCCTAGAGGAGGTGAGGACCCCCCTAGAGGAGGTGAGGTCCCCCACTAGAGGATGTGAGGTCCACCCCCAAATAAAGCAGTTAAAATAATTAAATTGAATACATGTTCTTTTAGTAAACACTGCAAACGGGTCCCACAGACCCAAACAGCACAAAGGTTAAAGGTCAGCATATCATAATGTTAAAATGTGCTAAATATATACACTGCAAAAAACAAAAAAAAGAGGAGAAAAAGTAGCTCACGACTTGTTTTAATTTTTGAAAGTAGCCCTCATCCTAAAAAAGGTTGGTGACCCCTGCTCCAGAGCTTTTGTGGTAGCTAATGTTAAACACACCCTGCTTGCCATGTTAATATTAACCACTTATTTACTCTCTTTTACTGTGTTGCTGTACTGTACTCATGTAATTATATTAAAAGCAGTTTATATTATCAGATTACAGAAAAGCTGAATCCTCTTCAGGTTACAGTAGAAACAGACTCTTACTTTGTGTCTGAGGGTCCAGGTTCATCTCTGAAGTTTATGGGTTCCCCTATAGACCGGTCACTCTTCAGAGACAGACAGCTGGGGACTGGAGACCCTGCTCTCTGTCTGTGGAAACAACACATGTTTTACACACATCATTAGTTCTTGTAAAGAGCAGCATTACCTGGTTAAAGATTTTTGGACTTGCTCTGAACTGAATCTAATACATTACATTGCATTACATAAAAACGGAATCCTCTTCAGGTCAGATTACAGTAGAAACGGACTCTTACTTCCTGTCTGAGGGTCCAGGTTCATCCCTGAAGTCTGGAGGTTCCTCTTTAGACCGGTCACTCTTCAGAGACAGACAGCTGGGGACTGAGGATGTGTCCTCTTCCTTGTCTTTTAAATCACTCATCTTCTCCAGTCTGAGAGAAAACACACACACACACACACACACACACACACACACACACACACACACACACACACACACACACACACACACACACACACACACACACACACACACCACACACACACACACACACACACACACACACACACACACACACACACACACACACACACACACACACACACACACACACACACACACACACACACACACACACACACACACACACACACACTACACACACACACACACACACACACACACACACACACACACACACACACACACACACACACACACACACACACACACACACACACACACACACACACACACACACACACACACACACACACACACACACACACACACACACACACACACACACACACACTATAAAAAACATAATTATTTCAATCCAAATCATCATTATGACAAACTTAAGAAGAACAAATCAAGTCAGAGTTCAGACAGGCCGCTCTCCATTTTGTCTGCGCAGGGCGGTTACATGTTATGCAACTCTGAAGGCTCAGAAAACATGAAATGGAAAAGTTTACAACATTTAAAAATGTCACAATCGCATCTAGGATGCTGAATTTGAATCAAGACTGTTGTTCTTTCTGACCTACAGTTTAACAAAGTAAATAGTTGATGGTTTTAACACTCACCCTGTTTTTCTCCTGCTCTGTCGAAGCTTAAAATGGAGTCTCTAGTACTTTCACTTTCCATGTCCCTCCCTCCGTGTCTGCAGCTCCTCCCCTTGTTTCATAACCAGCCTCATCAGATGAATGTGTACACATACAGGGATAAGCTTCAGTTGCTCTCAAGTTACAGTGTTACAAGTACACATTTCAGTAGAGTAGCAAATGGACATACAGCTAAAAACAAGCTCAACAAAGTTATTTAAATAAAAAGAATAATACCACAATGTGAAAATAAGCCAATACAAGTAAACATCCAGCATTCAAAACCTCACTGAAGTAAAATAAAAGTAATTTGACTAATAACATTTAATAATCCTACTTTTTGAACAAAACATTTGATAGTAATTAAGCTGAAAAATCCTGAAAAGATTTGCTTAAGCCATACAACATTAATAAACACGGACTACTGTCAAAACGTTCTTCAGTATAACCTGAATTAGGATTAGAACAAAGCAACCGAATAAGTGTTTGATTCTGTATTAGAATAATTGTGTATTTTATATATATTTTATAATTATTTGTATTATATTATATACAGTACATCCTAAATAATGTAACTTTGTTTTCTCAGTAACTAACTGATTACAATAATATATATTTTGTCATTTTACTACAAAATACTCATTGGTCATTAGGTACATATGTATGTATGTACAACTATAGCCACATTAATGGGTTAAGGAGTTAAAGTGTATAAATCAAGCCACAGGGTAAGGGCAAAATTGTCTAACGTAATCCACCTTTTTATTTATTTTAAGTGTGTGCTGGTTTATGTATCATCCTGCACATACTACAATCATATTCAAATGTTTTATTTTTGCTGTAAATGTACTTTGTTCTTAGTAGTCTCTTCCCCCATCTTACCCAGGATGTGTGATGACTGGATACACCCACCGTTCATTCCTATTCAGAAAGTACCCGGATGTGGGCCCACAGAGCATGCGCAGTTAAGTTTCCCTCAAGCCCCGCCTCCGATCTCCTGCTCTCTGTCAGTAGGATGAACGGAGAGAGAAAATAAACTCTGGATTCAACTTTTAGAGCATTTAACAACTTTTAGAACCTAATGATTTAAATAAGGGCTATACAAGTGTTCGAGCTGGGTAGTTAATTTAGTTACAAAATAATATGTACGCTGATTTACCGACGTCTCTTTTTCCCAATGTAAGATTTGTGGGCCAAAAATAGCGTTTTGCCGCTACGGACATTCCAAATATGGGCTTCAACGGCTGTCTTCCAGGGGTTTGATTGACAGCCGACAGCCTCTGTTTTAAAAACGGCTAACGGCCAACTGTTAAACTCCAAGAAGAAAAATAACGGCTGCGACTGCGAGTATTAAAATATCATTAAATTACTAACAAGCACTTCGAAGTATGGAGAAATATAAAAGCACGGTGTCAGTAACTTTAACCACTGTAAAATAAAACTATTATCAAAGTAAATCAAATTTTACTCCACTACATGTATTTAATACCTTTAGTTACTTACAAGTGTTAAATCAGACTTTAGTTCCACCTGGAGTAAATTCACAAGCTACCCTGCAGTATACAAAGTCATTCAAACTAGCTGCACCTTTACCAGCTTTGAGAACACTTTCATGATCAATCATTATAAAACATATCATATATATTATTCTGAAATGGACCAATCTGCACAATGACTACTTTTACTGTCGCTACTTTAACTATATTTTGATGATAATACTTTTCTACTTTGACTTGAGGAACATTTTGAATGCAGGACTTTTACTGTAACAGAGTATTCCTACACTCTGGTACTTCTACTTTTACTCAAGTACAAGCTCTGAGTACTTCTACTTTTACTCAAGTACAAGATCTGAGTACTTCTACTTTTACTCAAGTACACGATCTGAGTCCTTCTCCCTCCTCTGTTATAAACGATGTTACCTCTGCATATATAAAGATAAAACTACTGAGATAAATGAAAGTCGTAGCTTGCCTCCTACAGCGTTTTCAATAATTAAAAATGCGTATTTAATAACGTGAAGCTTCCATATTTCGTGACTTAATAACTCCTAATTCATGCAGAGTTGGAAATCTAACATTTTAAGAAGGATTTAAGTGTTTTTCCATTATTTTATACCAACGGCTGAAACATCCTTCATCACTCAAAAAAGAATCCAGCTTGTTGAGAAAGCACCCCCGATAAAACAAAAATACTGAGACACCCAGACAATCACAAGTTTGGGATATTTTATTTCAGTTAACCAAAACATGTTAGGGACAAATGGACTAACAAACGTTTAAAACTTTTTCTGACCTTTTCACAGGACGCACAAACAAGTAAAAACTGTCGCACTTCCCTCATTGTTCCCTAATGAAGAAGTTAGTCCATTTCAAACCACAGAGTTGGTTCTCGCTGTATTGCAGATGTGGCATGTTGGGATTTGAAAAGGGGGTCACCCAATGACCCAAAAACACACTTTATGATCAACCCGTGTTATCTGTCCCTGCAGATGGTCGTCTCAACCCTGGTACAGCAGAGGGCATGCTTTGTATTTTGTGCTCCTTAGAGAATCTTTGCAGAAACTCTGAACCCACTTTCAATAGAGGTAATTTATCTAGCAAATATAACCTTTTTACAAGGTTCAGTATATCAAAAAGTGAAATCTAATTAGTCTAACCCGAATGCAAGCATTACTTAAAGTTTGAATACGAGTTTGGAAAAACCTCAAAGTCAGCACATGAAATCTAAAACTATAAGCATGGCAAGATGCCACTAGAGGTAAGAATGACTCTTTTAAAACGTTCCTGTTGCTGTGCAGTGAATGTATTTATTAATGGATACTCATTTTTGCTGTAATACAAAAACAAGAAGCCATCGGATTTAATTTGTGTTTTAATTATTAATCAAAATGCTGTTCATGTTTCCTGCCATTTACTGAGGATTTTTCTGCGACCAAATTGAGTGATTTTTCTCCAGACGGTCATGCTGTGTTTCTTGTAGTTTCAGTGAAATGCTTCTTCAGTCCGTTGAACATCCTTCTCCTCCTACGTGAACTTTGTCTTTAGTTTTTACCTGTCGGCATCCGATTGGTCGACCCAGTCCCACACGTGTACAGAGCCGTCCGAGGCCGCAGACAGCAGCGTCCGCGGCCGCTCGGGGTGCCACAGCTGGGACGTGGCGAACACGTCGCCCTCGTCAGACTGCGATGAAACTGCGTGGCCGCGATGCTCAAACAGCGGCTGGACTTCCTGCAGCTCCGCCCCCCACCCCGACGTGTTGTAGATCTGCACCAGTCCACTGAAGCCTGCAGAGAGGGGAGGGTGGTAAAAACATTCAACCGTAAACGTTCTCTCTCTACAGCTGCAGTGCAGAGGCCATCATTGCTAATGCAACGGTCTGTGGGACGAGGCATGTCTCATTCTTTAGTTTGGAATAAACAAACCAGATATAACACATTAACCAATTCGCTGAAAGTGCTTTTAAAAAGGGGCCATATTCTACTGATGTTCAGGTGTATATCAGTATGTAGTGTCTCTACTTTAAAGAGTCCTCTCCTGCTGATGTTCAGGTGTATATCAGTATGTAGTGTCTCTACTTTAAAGAGTCCTTTCCTGCTGATGTTCAGGTGTATATCAGTATGAAGTGTCTCTACTTTAAAGAGTCCTCTCCTGCTGATGTTCAGGTGTATATCAGTATGTAGTGTCTCTACTTTAAAGAGTCCTCTCCTGCTGATGTTCAGGTGTATATCAGTATGTAGTGTCTCTATTTAAAGAGTCCTCTCCTGCTGATGTTCAGGTGTATATCAGTATGTAGTGACTCTACTTTAAAGAGTCCTCTCCTGCTGATGTTCAGGTGTATATCAGTATGTAGTGTCTCTATTTTAAAGAGTCCTCTCCTGCTGATGTTCAGGTGTATATCAGTATGTAGTGTCTCTACTTTAAAGAGTCCTCTCCTGCTGATGTTCAGGTGTATATCAGTATGTAGTGTCTCTACTTTAAAGAGTCCTCTCCTGCTGATGTTCAGGTGTATATCAGTATGTAGTGTCTCTACTTTAAAGAGTCCTCTCCTGCTGATGTTCAGGTGTATATCAGTATGTAGTGTCTCTACTTTAAAGAGTCCTCTCCTGCTGATGTTCAGGTGTATATCAGTATGTAGTGTCTCTACTTTAAAGAGTCCTCTCCTGCTGATGTTCAGGTGTATATCAGTATGTAGTGTCTCTACTTTAAAGAGTCCTCTCCTGCTGATGTTCAGGTGTATATCAGTATGTAGTGTCTCTACTTTAAAGAGTCCTCTCCTGCTGATGTTCAGGTGTATATCAGTATGTAGAGTCTCTACTTTAAAGAGTCCTCTCTTGCTGATGTTCAGGTGTATATCAGTATGTAGTGTCTCTACTTTAAAGAGTCCTCTCCTGCTGATGTTCAGGTGTATATCAGTATGTAGTGTCTCTACTTTAAAGAGTCCTCTCCTGCTGATGTTCAGGTGTATATCAGTATGTAGTGTCTCTACATGTCTCCATGCTTTAATGTTCAAAAAGCTCTTTATTTTTCTCATACTGTCTGTGCTGCAGCACCTCTTTTCACCCTCTGTCTGAAACCAGAGCCCAGTCTGCTCTGATTGGTTAGCTGGCCGGCTCTGTTGTGATTGCTCAACCGCTTAGAGATGTCCCGCCCCTTAGCCTATCACAAACTTTAGAATGTTATCCTTTGCAGACAATTTACATGCACACAAACCTATATATCACAGGAAAGGGAAACCCCCGAAAAGCTTTATAGGACCCCTTTAACTGGATTCCCGGAGAACATCTCCTTGAACACTGGATATCTGTTGAACTCACCGGACACTGCGATGCAGTCGTTCAGAGCCGGAGCCCACGACACTGTGACATCGCCCGGGTTGCAGCGACGTGATTGGACGGACAGCTGAGCCCGGCTCACCGCTGCTCCCGGGTTCCTTAAGTCTGAAATCTCAGCCAGTCCAGACGAGGACACTCTGATGAAGCTGCCGCTGGACGCACCTGCCGCGGCGTCCGTCCACCAGAGGACAGACTCACCTGGAGGTGCAGGTGAGAGCTGAGGGGAGGCGGACGCCCGAGTGTCGGCGATGTAAACGTTCCCGTTGCAGCAGCCGGCGAGGAAGACGTCGTCGCTCACAAACTGCAGAGAGCTCAGAGGATCGGAGGAGGTAATCTCTGTCGGGACAAACAACATAGACTCATGTTCAGATTCTGTTACATTATAAAAAACACATGGACACAAACACTGTGTCTTTATTGTTCAGGTAAGTTGTGGTGCTGAGACGACTATGTGTGGAGCCAATGCTTACAGTAAGTCTTTAACTAGAAGTTATTTTTGATCACCAGCAGAACAAATAATCAGGAAAAATCTGTCGGGTTATTCTATAAAATGTCAGTAAAAATTGATTCTGTCCAAAAACAAAGTATTTATCACAGAACAAAAACAACCTGGTAGGTAGAGGATCTGTCCTGAGGTCAGTTTACCTGACAGTGTTACCTGGTAGGTAAAGGATCTGTCCTGAGGTCAGTTTACCTGACAGTGTTACCTGGTGTGTAGAGGATCTGTCCTGAGGTCAGTGTTACCTGGTGTGTAGAGGATCTGTCCTGAGGTCAGTGTTACCTGGTGTGTAGAGGATCTGTCCTGAGGTCAGTGTTACATGGTGTGTAGAGGATCTGTCCTGAGGTCAGTGTTACATGGTGTGTAGAGGATCTGTCCTGAGGTCAGTGTTACCTGGTGTGTAGAGGATCTGTCCTGAGGTCAGTGTTACATGGTGTGTAGAGGATCTGTCCTGAGGTCAGTTTACCTGACAGTGTTACCTGGTAGGTAGAGGATCTGTCCTGAGGTCAGTTTACCTGACAGTGTTACATGGTGTGTAGAGGATCTGTCATGAGGTCAGTGTTACATGGTGTGTAGAGGATCTGTCCTGAGGTCAGTTTACCTGACAGTGTTACCTGGTAGGTAGAGGATCTGTCCTGAGGTCAGTGTTACCTGGTTTGTAGAGGATCTGTCCTGAGGTCAGTGTTACCTGGTGTGTGGAGGATCTGTCCTGAGGTCAGTTTACCTGACAGTGTTACCTGGTGTGTAGAGGATCTGTCCTGAGGTCAGTGTTACCTGGTGTGTAGAGGATCTGTCCTGAGGTCAGTGTTACCTGGTGTGTAGAGGATCTGTCCTGAGGTCAGTTTACCTGACAGTGTTACCTGGTGTGTAGAGGATCTGTCCTGAGTTCAGTGTTACCTGGTGTGTAGAGGATCTGTCCTGAGGTCAGTGTTACCTGGTGTGTAGAGGATCTGTCCTGAGGCCAGTGTTACCTGGTAGGTAGAGGATCTGTCCTGAGGTCAGTGTTACCTGGTGTGTAGAGGATCTGTCCTGAGGTCAGTGTTACCTGGTGTGTGGAGGATCTGTCCTGAGGTCAGTGTTACCTGGTGTGTAGAGGATCTGTCCTGAGGTCAGTGTTACCTGGTGTGTAGAGGATCTTTCCTGAGGCCAGTGTTACCTGGTGTGTAGAGGATCTGTCCTGAGGTCAGTGTTACCTGGTGTGTGGAGGATCTGTCCTGAGGTCAGTGTTACCTGGTGTGTGGAGGATCTGTCCTGAGGTCAGTGTTACCTGGTATGTAGAGGATCTGTCCTGAGGTCAGTGTTACCTGGTGTGTAGAGGATCTGTCCTGAGGTCAGTGTTACCTGGTGTGTGGAGGATCTGTCCTGAGGTCAGTGTTACCTGGTGTGTAGAGGATCTGTCCTGAGGTCAGTGTTACCTGGTGTGTGGAGGATCTGTCCTGAGGTCAGTGTTACCTGGTGTGTGGAGGATCTGTCCTGAGGTCAGTGTTACCTGGTGTGTAGAGGATCTGTCCTGAGGTCAGTGTTACCTGGTGTGTAGAGGATCTGTCCTGAGGTCAGTGTTACCTGGTGTGTAGAGGATCTGTCCTGAGGCCAGTGTTACCTGGTGTGTAGAGGATCTGTCCTGAGGTCAGTGTTACCTGGTGTGTAGAGGATCTGTCCTGAGGCCAGTGTTACCTGGTGTGTAGAGGATCTGTCCTGAGGTCAGTGTTACCTGGTGTGTGGAGGATCTGTCCTGAGGTCAGTGTTACCTGGTGTGTAGACGATCTGTCCTGAGGTCAGTGTTACCTGGTGTGTAGAGGATCTGTCCTGAGGTCAGTGTTACCTGGTGTGTAGAGGATCTGTCCTGAGGTCAGTGTTACCTGGTGTGTAGAGGATCTGTCCTGAGGTCAGTGTTACCTGGTGTGTAGAGGATCTGTCCTGAGGTCAGTGTTACCTGGTGTGTAGAGGATCTGTCCTGAGGTCAGTGTTACCTGGTGTGTAGAGGATCTGTCCTGAGGTCAGTGTTACCTGGTGTGTAGAGGATCTGTCCTGAGGTCAGTGTTACCTGGTGTGTAGAGGATCTGTCCTGAGGTCAGTTGTGTCAGCTGGATGTCGTCGCTCTGAGCTCCATGAAGAACTTGTGACGAGTGTCGGGCTGCGATCCTGCTGCCTCCTTCTGAATCACTCTTCTTCCTCCTCGTCTTCCTCCCTGCGACACTTCCTGTTCTTCTGATCACGTCTGTCATTGGACGAAAGGATGCAGCAAGACAACCAATCACATTTTTAGAATGAACCTAATTGGCTGAAGACTTCTCTGTTTGTTTTTCTTTTCCGCTTGATTTAATTTTTATTTAATCCCTTTATTCTTTAAAAAAAAAAAAATGCAAAAAGTTTTAAGAAGTTTTTTTGTGTTTTATAAATAATTTTTTCGTCACTTTTACTAAAAGTTCTTTAAAATTGGATATGGTAAATGGACCTTATTTATATAGCACTTTATCCAGTCTTTACGATCCTTCAAAGCGCTTTACATTTAAAGCTTCTTCACATTCATGTTTAACTTGATGTGACTCCAAACAGATATTAACTCACCGCTGTCGTCTCCTCCGACGGTCCACACCTGCAGGTCGGAGGTCAACCCATCGTTGGTAACAACACACCTGCAGGAGCAACAACATGACATTTAGTTCCTTTATATTACATCCTGCTGATGTTCAGGTGTATATCAGTATGTAGTGTCTCTACTTTAAAGAGTCCTCTCCTGCTGATGTTCAGGTGTATATCAGTATGTAGTGTCTCTACTTTAAAGAGTCCTCTCCTGCTGATGTTCAGGTGTATATCAGTATGTAGTGTCTCTACTTTAAAGAGTCCTCTCCTGCTGATGTTCAGGTGTATATCAGTATGTAGTGTCTCTACTTTAAAGAGTCCTCTCCTGCTGATGTTCAGGTGTATATCAGTATGTAGTGTCTCTACTTTAAAGAGTCCTCTCCTGCTGATGTTCAGGTGTATATCACTATGTAGTGTCTCTACTTTAAAGAGTCCTCTCCTGCTGATGTTCAGGTGTATATCAGTATGTAGTGTCTCTACTTTAAAGAGTCCTCTCCTGCTGAGGTTCAGGTGTATATCAGTATGTAGTGTCTCTACTTTAAAGAGTCCTCTCCTGCTGATGTTCAGGTGTATATCAGTATGTAGTGTCTCTACTTTAAAGAGTCCTCTCCTGATGATGTTCAGGTGTATATCAGTATGTAGTGTCTCTACTTTAAAGAGTCCTCTCCTGCTGATGTTCAGGTGTATATCAGTATGTAGTGTCTCTACTTTAAAGAGTCCTCTCCTGCTGATGTTCAGGTGTATATCAGTATGTAGTGTCTCTACTTTAAAGAGTCCTCTCCTGATGATGTTCAGGTGTATATCAGTATGTAGTGTCTCTACTTTAAAGAGTCCTCTCCTGCTGATGTTTAGGTGTATATCAGTATGTAGTGTCTCTACTTTAAAGAGTCCTCTCCTGTTGATGTTCAGGTGTATATCAGTATGTAGTGTCTCTACTTTAAAGAGTCCTCTCCTGCTGATGTTCAGGTGTATATCAGTATGTAGTGTCTCTACTTTAAAGAGTCCTCTCCTGCTGATGTTCAGGTGTATATAAGTGTGTAGTGTCTCTACTTTAAAGAGTCCTCTCCTGCTGATGTTCAGGTGTATATCAGTATGTAGTGCCTCTACTTTAAAGAGTCCTCTCCTGCTGATGTTCAGGTGTATATCAGTATGTAGTGTCTCTACTTTAAAGAGTCCTCTCCTGCTGATGTTCCGGTGTATATCAGTATGTAGTGTCTCTCACCTTGTTCCTGGGACGTGTCGGAGGCAGCGAACAGGACCCTCCGTGAACCCCCCATGGACTACTTTAAAATCCCGTTCTGCACAGAGACCCTGAATGCACCGCAGACAAACACATAGCAGAGAATACATGTAAGACTTGAACATTGCTTTTATAAAAATAAACCCCCGAACCTTATGTGTTTTCACCTTATTTTCCTCAGCGAAGAGTTTCAGAGGCAACTGTAGCTCAAGAATTTCATTTTTAGACGAGCTGTATCCTGCGACACACACGGCTGAAAGGAATACGATAAAGACTGAATATGAGTTTAAATGCACGGCAGATTCTGACATTATTACAACATATGTTACTAACTCACTCTTCCCTGACGTCCACTCGATGACCTGGGTGGGATGTTCCAGCTGATACACATGGAGATCTTTGTACCTTTAGAAAACAAATAAAATATCATTAGCAACATTATCTTTTTGATTTATAAGATGATAATATCTTCCTCCAGACTCCTTTCATAAATCATACATTTGCTAATCACATATAACTTCATGTTTTAAATAAATCCGATCTACTCTGCCCCGCCTCCAACACTGTTTCCAGTTCTCTTTAAACATCCATGGTTTGCACGGCTTGCTAGCAGAGGTGTAAAGTACTTAAGTACAATTTTGAGGTACTTGTACTTTACTTGAGTATTCATTTTATGCTACTGTGTACTTCTACTCCACTACAGTTCAGAGGTAAATGGTGTACTTGTACTCCACTACATGTATTTAATACCTTTAGTTACTTCACAGATGTGGATGAATGATGTGAAATATAATCAAGTGTTAAATCAGACTTTAGTTCCACCTGGAGTAAATCCACAAGCTACCCTGCAGTATACAAAGTCATTCAAACTAGCTGCACCTTTACCAGCTTTGAGAACACTTTCATGATCAATCATTATAAAACATATCATATATATTATTCTGAAATGGACCAATCTGCACAATGACTACTTTCACTGTCGCTACTTTCACTATATTTTGATGATAATACTTTTCTACTTTCACTTGAGTAATAGTCTAGTTGACAGCTTCTTGAACCCCTTAATGTTGAGGACCCCAAAGTGTTATGATATAAATGTATAGTAGGGTCCCAAGGACAAAGAAACTCCCAGATGCTAACTTGAATATGTTCGGCAGAGTTATAATATGATGCTTTATTCAACATTAATTGCACTAATGTACATTTTCAAAATATTGAAGTGACTGTTATTTTGTATATATTGGATTGCTGTGTTTTTATTTAGGTCTTAATGTGTGCACATGTAAAAATGTGTCTTTCAAATATAGGACATACATATTTGCACACATGTTTTTTTAGATATATTTGTTTATATATTCGGGATTGTGGGAAACGGTATTTCGATCTCTCTGTCTGTACACACAAACTGGAAGATTGACAATAAAGTTGACTTGGCATTAAAGCCTATGTAAACAATAGTTATAAAACGGCTTGGCCGATTTGGACGTTTCTGGAGTGCTTTTGTGGGCTATTGAGGATCTTGAATCCATTTCTGACATTTTCAGGATCATAAATGACAGTTTTAACCAGAAATTGATCATATCTGTTCTCTCTGTGGACTGATTCTGACTACCATGAGTAGAGTTGGACATTGGATATTGAGAGCAATAGATGAATATTATTACCTCTACTGTGGACACTTTCTTTCCCACATAAATAACAATCTGTCCGATCCAAATGATCCAGAGTCCCCTAATTCTTTCAAATCGACCCAAAATTAATCACAAACATCCATTGCTGACTATAAATATTGATATATTCGATTTTGGATCCTGAAAATGTCAGAAATGTACTCAGCATCCTCAATAACCCCCAAACCACTCCAAAAACTGTGCTGGCGACCCGCACCATACATTTCTATCATATAACTTTGGTGAACCCTTTTGAATGCGGGACTTGTACTTGTAACAGAGTAGTATTAGTATTCCTACACTCTGGTATTTCTACTTTTACTGAGTACTTCCCCCTCTCTGGTTATGAACGGTGTTAGCAGCTAACAGACTTTACGAGCTCAAACAAAGAGGAAATATGTTCTCACGTCTTCAGCGACTCGATGAACCAGTCATCTAAGATATCATTAAAGTCCGCTTCTCCCCTCTCAGCCATGACTTCTTATTATTATACATCCATGATGTCTTCACGTGGAAGCATGGGTATGTCTGTTGTTGTTGTTTGACTTCCTGTAGCTTTTATTCTTGACTTTATTGCTGGTTTGCTCAACTGAGGAAAACGCAGCACCGCCCCCTGCTGGACAGAAGCGGGAACACACCTGTCTCATTTTGCACTTTGCTATTTAAATGCTGCTTCTCACTTTGAGGCTCACACTCACACACACTCTCACACTCACACACCGTTGGCCATCGGAAGCAACTCAGGGTTCAGTATCTTGCCCAAGGACACATCGACATGTTGACTGCATGAGCTGGGATCTAACCAACAACCTTCTAACTGAAATACGAACGCAGCCACAGTCACTTCTCTTAAAAAGGAAAGTCTTCAGCACACTCTTTAACGTTTTTCAGCACTGTTTCCCTCTCTGATCAAAACAGGAAGCTGGTTCCAGAGAAAGGGAACTAATAAAAACAGACACAATTGTAAAGAGCAACTCTAGCAGGCAGCGCCATTACAGTAACTGAATATATTCTAACATATTCTTGGTAGGGGTTTGATGCATGTTTGGTTGAAAAATATGTTCACTGCAGTCTTTTCTCCCCTCAGAACGGAGGACATTTACACGGATGATCTGCTGGACCCCGAGCTGCTGCAGGACGCCCAGCTCTACCCCACATGAACCCCAAATGAAGCAGGATCAGAATCCCTTTATTTGTCCTGCAACGGGACATTTACATTAATACAACAGCAGATACTACTCCACTACATTTTGGATGTACATGTTGTACTCTTAACTCTGCTACAAGCGTCTTTGAGTTCTAGAGAAGCACTATATATAAATATTATTTATTATTATTATTTATCTGAGAGCTTTAGCAACTAGTTGTTCTACATATTCAGATTATTAGCTAATACAAAATGCCAGCTGCTATAGACTCATGAATGCATCAATAATCATAGTGCAGTAATATTATATAAATATTATTCAGAAATAGGCTACTTTTAATTTTTGGACTCTGAGTATATTTTGAAGGCTATCTTTAATTAAGTTATGTCTTGTACTTTTACACCACTGTGCTAATCTATAGAAGGCAAAGAGAAAGCAATGAAAGTCAGCAGGCTTGTTTTACACTGTCTATTTAGTGCCTCCTTCAGATCAGACACCTCCATTCATCCGCAGTTCCAATTTTAGCCAACAGAGGTCAGCAGTGTTCTACTTTTGATAAGACTTACCTTCTTATTGTATCTGAAGGTAACTTTGGAGGTCCTCAACCTGAACCCCTGCAGCCATGAGTGGCTTTTAACTTGGAATAAGCCTGGTGACCCTCAATAAAACAAAATATTAAACCTAATTAAAAATTAAACACTATACCCTGCCTTCTTCATTGTAAAACCACGTTGTACATTTTACACATATATAATCTGTTCAATATTTAATATTTAATATTTAATATTCCATATGTCATATATTTTTGAATATATTTGTATACATAATATCTACATGTATGTTTTCTATTTCAACATGTATATTTTCTATTTTCTTTTCTTTTCTTTCTATTCTTGTTTATTTGTAGTTTTGTTTTATTGTAAAATGCCTTGTCTTTTATGCTGCTGCAACAAAAACAATCTCCCAAATTGGGATCAATAAAGTACCATCTTATCTTATCTTATCTTATCTTATCTTAATTACCAACATCCTATTGGAAAATCATTGGGCCCTTAGATATCCTATCAACACCCTTAAAGGTGGGGTAGGTAAGTTTGAGAAACCGGCTCGAGATACACTTTTTGTTATATTCCATGGACTGCTCTTAACATCCTGATAGCAATGAATATCTGAAGTGCTTTGACAACAAATACATAAAAAAATGTCATCTGTGTAGTGTCTCTACTTTAAAGAGTCCTCTCCTGCTGATGTTCAGGTGTATATCAGTATGTAGTGTCTCTACTTTAAAGAGTCCTCTCCTGCTGATGTTCAGGTGTATATCAGTATGTAGTGTCTCTACTTTAAAGAGTCCTCTCCTGCTGATGTTCAGGTGTATATCAGTATGTAGTGTCTCTACTTTAAAGAGTCCTCTCCTGCTGATGTTCAGGTGTATATCAGTATGTAGTGTCTCTACTTTAAAGAGTCCTCTCCTGCTGATGTTCAGGTGTATATCAGTATGTAGTGTCTCTACTTTAAAGAGTCCTCTCCTGCTGATGTTCAGGTGTATATCAGTATGTAGTGTCTCTACTTTAAAGAGTCCTCTCCTGCTGATGTTCAGGTGTATATCGGTATGTAGTGTCTCTACTTTAAAGAGTCCTCTCCTGATGATGTTCAGGTGTATATCAGTGTGTAGTGTCTCTACTTTAAAGAGTCCTCTCCTGATGATGTTCAGGTGTATATCAGTATGTAGTGTCTCTACTTTAAAGAGTCCTCTCCTGCTGATGTTCAGGTGTATATCAGTATGTAGTGTCTCTACTTTAAAGAGTCCTCTCCTGCTGATGTTCAGGTGTATATCAGTGTGTAGTGTCTCTACTTTAAAGAGTCCTCTCCTGCTGATGTTCAGGTGTATATCAGTATGTAGTGTCTCTACTTTAAAGAGTCCTCTCCTGCTGATGTTCAGGTGTATATCAGTATGTAGTGTCTCTACTTTAAAGAGTCCTCTCCTGCTGATGTTCAGGTGTATATCAGTGTGTAGTGTCTCTACTTTAAAGAGTCCTCTCCTGCTGATGTTCAGGTGTATATCAGTGTGTAGTGTCTCTACTTTAAAGAGTCCTCTCCTCCTGATGTTCAGGGATAAGTATGAGTATATTAGAGAGTATTATCATTTATACTGTATATTTCACAGTGTTTAGATGCTCCTTCTAATATAGGTGTTGTGACTGAGAATTGTGGGGGAAACTTCTGTAGCAATGGAGAGTCAGTCAGGACCAGAGGCGCGGGAAGGTATGTTGAGTGGGGTGCTGAGGTGCTGTCCGATGTGCTAATTACGCACCAACGGGGGGGGCAAAACCACACACACACAGTGGCATAACAATGGACTCCAGTGAACACTATTACGGACACTATAGAGCAGTGGTTTCTCAAACTTTTTTCAATAATGTACCCCCCTTCGAAAAAAATATTCAGCCAAGTACCCCCTGAACAGCGCAAAAACAATTTGTTAGGGACAAAATGCCTATATAAAGAGGTACAGTACAGCCTTGCACCATCAGTGTCTGATTTGTTAAAACAACAACATTGTAACTGAGAAACACTTAAATGCTACATTTCAAATGTTTACAATCCATCACTAAATTCATGGCAAACCAATTTTAACATCATGCAATAACACTAAGACGACATTAGTTGCATTGAACTGATCTTTTTAATAAGTTGTACTTACAATGTAGTGAGAAACATGGGCTTGTGCTTCACTGAGGATCTTTGTCATTCTCGGTGACAGGGAGGCAACTGCAGTTATTACACATAATATATTATTCAAATATAGCATGATAGGTCCACTTTACTGTATCATGCACGTTCAGGTCCATCAATACACTGTTTTGTTTTTGCATATTCATAAAAACCCAGTTGTGTGATTATAGATGAGGTCTGCAATAAAGTGAAGTTCAATCTGTCAAATTTCAGATACATTAGAAACTTCCTATCATCTGCAGCAGCTAAGCTATACCTTCACTCGATGGTCCTCTCCCACATCAACTACTGTCTGATAAGCTGCTCGAATGCACACTCTGCAGCTCCAAGGCCACTGGACTCACTACATAAACAAGCACTCAGAACACTAGACAACAAGCCATTCCGGTATCATCATTGTCACATTGTTAAAAAGTATAATCTGTTCAGCTGGGAAAATCTCAGTTTACAAAAACGTCTGCTTAGTTTACAAGATCACTCGTGGGCTGGCTCCTCCTCCTCTGGCTGGCTTCATCAGACTAAAGCCCACCTCAACCAGGGCTACTAGAAGTGCGGCTACATGTTTTTAATATGTTGATTAATGTACACTGTCCCTTGTTTTAAATAAATCAATTCAATAAATGGCTCAGACAATATGAAAAAAAAACGAATTTTGACTGTAGACTCCCATGTTGTACACACTTCATGCGATTAGGGTACAAACTGTCACTCATATCACCGTGAAACTCCCCCACTTCATCACCGACATTAACACAATTACTTTTTACATTACAAGCTTTCTGCCATGTATGTTTAAATACGCAAATTAGGCTTCATGTGATGATACCTTCTGGTGGATTTAGGAGAAATGAATGAACTCTTGGATGTGAATTCTGGATGTTGTCTTCCCATGACTCGGAAAGAAGACATGTTATGGAAGCAGAATGTCCCGTTATTGACCCGTCCATGAACATGTCCTGTTTGTCTGTAATGTCTGTTCCTCGGTTTGTCCTCTGGCAGCAGACGCTCCATCTCTTCAGATGTTGTTTTTCTCCTCCTCCTGTCCACACACTTTTCACACACTATCGGTATGTAGTGTCTCTACTTTAAAGAGTCCTCTCCTGCTGATGTTCAGGTGTATATCAGTATGTAGTGTCTTTACTTTAAAGAGTCCTCTCCTGCTGATGTTCAGGTGTATATCGGTATGTAGTGTCTTTACTTTAAAGAGTCCTCTCCTGCTGATGTTCAGGTGTATATCGGTATGTAGTGTCTCTACTTTAAAGAGTCCTACAATTAGATGGAAAACAGCTGCAAAGAGACAGAAAATTACAACAGAGACAATTAATCACCATAACAATTATTTTAGTAGAAAAATGTTTTCATTGAAGTTAATGTGTTGAAGGGAATCCTGTAAAAAAAAGTTTTATTCAAAATGGCACTTTATCAAAATGCAATTGAGTGCAACTTCAACGTAACTGTATTTTTGGTTCCTATTAGATAAGATGTACTTTATTGATCCCAAATTGGGAAATGTTTGCGTTGCAGCAGCATAAAAAACAAGGCATTGCACATAATTAGAAATTAAAAGAGTAGAAATAAACATTTCAAAAATTTGAAAGATATCAAAATAGAAATTAAAAAGTAGAAAATATGCATTTGACGTGAAGATGAAACATAATAGAACATGTTGCTTAC